CAATCTTGGGCTCTCTCTCTTTCTCTCTCTCTCTCTCTCTCTCTCTCTCTCTCTCTCTCTCTCTCTCTCTCTCTCTCTCTCCTGTCTATCTAGTTTCTTTCTTTCGCTTCTTTCTTTCTTGTCTTTCTTTCTTTCTTTCTTTCTTTCTTTCTTTCTTTCTTTCTTTCTTTCTTCTTCTTCTTCTTCTTCTAATTCTTCTTCTTCTTCTTCTTCTTCTTCTTCTTCTTCTTCTTCTTCTTTCTTCTTCTTCTTCTTCTTCTTCTTCTTCTTCTTCTTCTTCTTCATTAGAGCACCTCCTTCCTTCGCTCACGAGACACCTCCATCGCCTTAGTTACACAGAGTAGAAAAATACTAAGTGGTCTGGGCAGTGTATTAGTGAGGTGAAGTTGAGGAAGTGTGTTAATAACACCCGCTTACTGCACACCCATGAAGTTTGGCGCCTCCGCCAGACCATCCCTCCTCTCACCCACAACTTGTAGCACCAAGTTCGTCGTCATGCCTTAACCAAATAATGATATTAATAATGATAATGAGTATGTAATAATATATCATAATTTATTATTAATAATTTTAATAATAAACTAGCTTCAGATCCTTTTCTTTCTTGAATGTTTCCTTTCTTCTCTCCTCTCGTTTATGATCTGTCATCTTATTTCCCTTAATCTTTTTAGGAACTGGAGGATTGGTCCCAAATCTGCACACACAGAAATCGCCTCCTGCTTAAGCATATACCCTTAGTGGAGAGCAGGTGTTCAGGAACTTCTCTAATAGATAAGTGTTAAGGGACCAAGACTAATGACTTCTCTTCAGAAGGGAACTCTAGAAGTTCCTCAAGTCAGTTTCTGATCAGCCATGTATTGATGTCTGTATTACAGACCTTGGTTGATCAAGTCATTTGCCATTAGGTCTGATCTGAGACTGGGCCACGGGGGTGATAACTGCTGAAATCATCCTCGGGTATCCTCCAGGTGTTGTGACACCTACGAGACTATCACCATTTTGGCATACACTGTGTAGTTAATATTTGTTTTATATAAGGGGTTAAAACCTAACTGGTGGATGCTTAACCACTTAAGGGATCATCATCTGATTAAGACCCGCGTCACGAGTTACTATGATGTGTCCTGACTAATAAAACACCACCATTCTTGCATTTTAGTTTAAACTCCAACATATAGGAGTAATTTTTGCTGTAATTTACGTACATTATAAATAAAAGTGGTCCCAGTACTGGTCCTTGTGGAACTCCATTTATTACCTTCGCCAATTCTAATGTCTAATTATTTCCTTTTACTGCATTCTGTCCTTCAAGTACTTCCTGACCTACTTGCCATGTTTACCTTTTATTCCTGTCTATTCTTGTTCATCCATTAATCTCTTATAACGTACCAGGTTGAGCAGTTTCTTGTTTTATATTTGTGACTATCTTAAAACTCCTGTAAGTTACATTACATTTGAAGTGAACACAAAGACATCGTTTATGCTGGGTCCCCAGACACGTCCATGTTCTAGGTAACGAACAAGCAGACTCAGCCGCTTGGTCAGCTGCTCATGACCGCCCGATTTGACACATGGGTAATCCTTTCTCAGATTATTTTTCCTTGATATGTCGACATCTCCGCGACCTTCGGCAGGAAGGGTGGCCCGCGTTGGATCTCAATAAATTTTCTGTCAAACCACTTTTGTATTTCGGGCCATTTTCTGTCCACCTCTTTCATGTTTGGGAGACTATACTCTCCACTAAGTATCGGCAACACTCACCTCGCTCACTAATACCTCGTGAAAAAACGCCCAGCACTGCACTGAAAAACTGTCAGTTTGTATTATAAGTTCAACATATCTTAATATTGTCCTGTCCATCAGTGGACACTCAGAATTCGCTTCCACGCCCCCAACACCCTTACTCTAACTGACCTCGCTGAAAACCACATCTTTGGAGCAGAAACTGGCTTATTGCACCAAGTTGATTTTAATTTACATCTTGCACTCTCCCCCCGTCCCTTTTAACACTTTTGTACACTTCTGCCTCTCCCTCCCTCCCTCCTAACCTTCACATACTCCTCCTTAAGCCCATGTCTGCCTGCACCACTCTCACACTTTCCGATTTACTACTGAATTTGATTATATGATTATTATTTTTATTACTATGATTATTATTGTAAATTCGACTTTTCCATCGCTAATTGCCTTCCTTAAAATCAAAGTTGTCTCTCTCTCTCCCTCTCTCCTTATATATATATATATATATAATATATATATATAATATATAATATATATATATATATATATATAAATATATATATATATAATGTCGTGCCGAATATGTAAAACTGGTCAATTAGCAAGAAATCAATGAAAATTAAGTCCTTTCTAAAATTTCCTCATATTCGTTTAAAGATATATTTTTTCCATTAATGTTAATGTAGCAATTTTTAATTTTTCACCAAAAGAATCTTAGAAAACTTGCCTAACCATATTATAACAAGAACAATTTATTTTAGCCTAACCCAGCTAAATATATTTTAGATTTGTTTACAGTAATTTAATACTAAACAGTCACAGTGAAATATATTTTTTTTCGTTAGGTTCAGAATGATTTTGGCGAAATTATTACATACACAAATTTTCGCTTGTCCTATATGGCAAGATGAGCGTTGCTATTTAAGCCAAGATCGCAAGTTCTGCCTATTCGGCACGATTATATAATATATATATATATATATATAATATATATATATATATATATATATATATATATATATAATATATATATATATATATATATATATATATATATGCATATGTGTGTGTGTGTGTAGAATAGTCAAATTTGCTATTTTTGCTTAAATAGTAATGCACTTCTTGCCGAATAAGGCAAGCGAAAATTTGTGTGTGCTATAATTTCGGAAAAATCATTCTGAACCTAACGGAAAAATATATATTTAATTTTGTTTGTTTAGCATTAAATTATTGTAAATTTATCTAAGATATATTTAGTTAAATTAGGCTAAATTAATTTGAGCGTGTTATAATAAGGTTAGGTAAGTTTTCTAATGTTCTTTTGGTACAAAATTATTGATTTTTATATCAACATAAATAAAAAAAAGTCTTCAAACGTATAAGAGAAAATTTTAGAAAGGACTTAATTTTAAATTTCTTACTAATTATATATATATATATATATATATATATATATATATATATAATATATATATATAATATATATATATATATATATATATATATATATATATATAATATATCCCAATAAGATCACAGTAAACAGGTGATTTCAGAATATGCAAAACAACCACTCTGAAAGAATAGAGAAATTCCAAGCGCTTTCGTGACTACTCACATTATCAAGGAACTATCAAGTTTCCTTGATAATGTGAGTAGTCACGAAAGCGCTTGGAATTTTCTCTTATTCTTTCAGAGTGGTTTGTTTTGCATATATATATAATATATAATATATATATAATATATATATATATATATATATATATATATATAAATATATATATATATAATGTATTTATCGCGAACAAGGGATACAAGATGGAAAACAACCACAGGGGGAGTTGAATGATATACAACGCCCTCTATGGTTATTTTGCATATATATTATATATAGCTTGACTGACATTGTATTCTAGCCCTTGGGCTATCATACGTACTTTTGAAGGTGTGAATGGAGCACCTTTCACTTATTCTTGTAGCATCTTCCACTTGTCTACACCACTGAGATTTGAGAAATACTAATAGCGTACGCGAGCGTCTGCTAATATACCCATACAACTCATGAAATCATAATAACACAATTGCAGGCAAGTCACGGAACGCACTAGCCTGTGAGTTTTAAGACGCACTCGCCACGGGTTCAACCCCCACCCGTTCCTCGATTTATACTCACACAAACTTGTCTTCGACACTCGCATTATAATCTTCTAATGTTATATTCTTTAATTCAGTACCGTCAGGTATAAGTTTCTCGGTAATAATTCAGTACCGTCAGGTATAAGTTTCTCGGTAATAATTCAGTACCGTCAGGTATAAGTTTCTCGGTAATAATTCAGTACCGTCAGGTATAAGTTTCTCGGTAATAATTCAGTACCGTCAGGTATAAGTTTCTCGGTAATAATATAATAATAATTGCAGCACTAGTTTATTATTCCATTTCGTATTGCATACATGCAAATCGTGTTTGAAAGCTCTTAATGAACATTGTAGTATACATGAGATGCGTGGTAAATATGAATGACTCCCGAACACATCATATTGTTGTAGATTAAAGTGGCTCTCGTAGTGTTGTTCTCAAATGGAAACAGAGGAAGACTGGTCAGGCCATTCATCCCAGCCTGGTCTTAAATCCCTTTAATTTCCATGATAGCATACAATGTTACCGGTATTAAAGCGACCAAACGAGCCATATATAACACATTTCAAGTCGGCCACCAGTAATGAAGTGGCCGCTAGAAAGCGGGCGTTTACTGCCTCCGTAGAGCTAATAAAACAACTGAGCTACTGGGAACGCCTCAGAGCACTGGGAATTTACTCACTGGAACGGAGAACAGAAAGATAACTGATAATATACACGTGGAAAAATGCTTGATGGTCAGTGATATGGGTGTTTGTGTAGGATAAACTTCAGTAAGACCGAGAGTACTACAGGCACTGTGTCAGCATCCATAGTTCATGACTCTGTGGCCTAGTACCAGCAGATATAAGAAATATTACCGGAACAGGTATAGAGTTCAAGGGAAAACTGGACCACTACCTGCCTGAAGTCACTGGTCAGCTAGGCTGTGATGGCTGTGTAGGATTCAGGACCGCTAGCACAAAGAGTTTGATCAGGTAACGAGCAAGGAAGGCAGGCCTTAGACAGGGCTGTTGGGTAGAAGAACCCTCGAAACTGGTCACAGGTACGACAAATGTAGAATAGATCTTAAATCTTTGGGAGAGTAGTGTTTTATTAACAAGTTTGTGTTATGTTCTTGCAGAAGATGATGACGACGACTTCAGATCAGCGGAGAGGCACTTCAGGACCCCCATTGTAAGTCTCACTGCTGTTTTATCTTACTTAACACGTGTTTTGAAACAGCGAAAGTCTTCTAGGGACGGGGCGGGGGTGTCTTGATACCGGCAAAGGTTCTTGTGGTCGTACGAATTGCAACTGACTTTTTGTTCCTTAGATCGATCTTAATTTTTCCCCTCTCCCCTTCTTCCTCCATTCCCGAGATGCACTCTGACTCATACAGGCATAACGCTTCCCCCACAATAATAATAATAGAGGGAACAAAGCATTAACATGAAGTCAGTCATTCCCACATAAGTGGCTTGATATCACTGCCGACACTGTAACTTAACAATTACTACAGACAGTATTACTGGACTTTAACCTAAATGGTTATTGTAACTCCTTGTCTGACCACTCTTGCAGCTTGTCCAAGCTTTCCTGTAGTCTACTTCTGTCGTCTTCGATATTTGTTCCTCTGAGCATTACATCATCGGCAAATGATGATGCAGTGATTGTATCTTGCAGGTCATTAACGTATTTAAAGAAATTAAATGGTGCTCGTACTGATCCTTGGGGAACCCGACTTGTTACACTTTCCCATCCTGAAACGTCTGGCCGTACCATCATCCTTCTTCTCTTTGTTACATGTTCCTTCATCCGCTTTAGCTTTTTAACTTGTACCTCTACTTGCTGTTACGTGTTAATCAAACTCTGGCGGTGTAATGTCAAATGCTTGCCAGGCCATGAATATTCACTCGACCCATCCTTGTCTTTCTTGCTTGATCGTCAGTGTGTGTGTGTGTGTGTGTGTGTGTGAACAAGTATTGCTTACCTTAACACTTCTTAATTGGTCTTCCAGGTGGGACAGAACATTCCGGTCGAGTTGGCGGACAGTCTGGAGGATACCAGTTTGTTGGACCACCAACCCTGGGAGCCGCGGCCAGAGGCACCAAGGAGAATGAGGTCAGTCAACACTTGTCTTGATAGCTACACTTGTCTCAGTAGTTACATGCGTCTCATTAGCCATACCTGTCATAGTAGTATCAGTATCAGAATCTCTTTTTTTAATCAGATACTTTACAGTAGCATACAAAAAATATATAATGTATAATTTTCGAAGAAAAATAATAAGATAATCCGCGGAAAGACTCTTAGCAGAGGTATGTAACGGCTCTTAGTTAATAAAGTTAAGACCTCGTAGCCTAAGCCTGTTAGAACATGGGAAGAGAGAGAGGGGGAGGGGAATGGGAGAGGAGGGTGGAAGAGGGAGAGATGAGGTAAAAAATATGACAGATGAAGCCAGCTTGAATAAGCACCGTGAATGGACGTCTTGACAGTAGAATAGTGGAACTCAAGTTGATAGATGCTGTAGAAGGAGAGTTGATTGACAGGTGCTGAGGCTGGTAGACGCGCTGAAAGAGTTGAAGCTGCTCATACGTTGACCCAGGCTCGTCTGGGCTGCCAGTTGTCCAAGCCACCACACATTTGGTCACATCAACCAGGAAAGGTGGAGACAGCCGGCCGCTGCCCGCAGTACACTTAAAGTGGCTTATCTGGAGAAGGCTGGGATAAAAAAAAAGACTCCATGTACACATCAGAAGGGAGAGAGAAAAAAATTCGGTTCAATAGGCAAAATCTCCAATGAGAGAGAGTGATCACCAGCTGGGCAGTTTGCTGCGGTTCGCCATCCTGTCTTTATAAAGGTGACTTGTAGCTGAAGTTGAGCTTTCAGCTCACACCCGAAGCCTGGCCCATGGCCGGGCTCCGAGAGTAGTGAAACTCTTGAAACTCTTCAAAGGTATATCGATATCCGGGATGGACGGGCGAGTCTCCTTGTTCATCTAGCGGTTAGTAGGTATCCGGGCGTTAGTGAGAGCGTTATGGATGGGATCCTATTGGGGTGGTAGTACCTACTTACCTGTGATGTCTCGTGGTCTCTCCATCTCTGTGCCCGTCTCTCAGTCCATCTTTCCTTCCTTCTCTCCATCTTTCTAACCATCCATCACCCTACATTTCCCTGCGGCCGCCCGTTCATTCATCTATCCGTAACTCTCAACCCTATCCTTGCACCCCTACCTCATTCTCGTTCCCTAACCCCTGCTGTTCTTTTTTTCTTTCTGCCCCCCCTCCTCCTCCTCCTCCTCCTCCTCCTCCTCCTCCTCCTCCTCCTCCTCCTCTCCTTAGCCCCCCTCTCTCCCACGTCCTCCTCCCTCCTTCTCCTCCCTCCTTCTCCTCCCTCTCTCCTCCCTCTTCCCGCTGTTCTTGAGTTATTCATGGGTGGATATTGGAGCATTGTTGTGCCGTGTGCTGGAGCTGACCAACACTGACCCTTCCCCACTCTTCATTCATTCTTTTCCTCCACCCTCTTCTTTTATTTCTCGTCATTCTGCTTTCTCTCTCCTCTCTCTCTCTCTCTCTCTCTCTCTCTCTCTCTCTCTCTCTCTCTCTCTCTCTCTCTCTCTCTCTCTCTCTCTCTCTCTCTCTCTCTCTCTCTCTACTCTTCTCTGCTTCGGGTCAAACCTGATTTTCATCCATTCTCAAACCGATGATAATAATAATAATAATAATATTAATAATAATAATAATAATAATAATAATAATAATTTTCCAGTTTTATTCTACTTCCCTTTTCATTCCTCCCCCACCATCCCTACACGTTCGCTTTTACCCCTGAACGTTCACATTCACCCCCTGCACGTTCATTCCCCCCCACAGATGCTCATTTTCCCCCACTGATATTTTCCCTTCAAATGATCAAATTTTCCCCCCATGTCCCCTTATATATCTCATAATCGCAATCTTTCTGTGGGTATATTCTCCCCTCGCTGTATCCTCATTTGTGAAGAAAAAACACAGCTGCAAAGCTACCCTTATTTTGTAACAACGTTTCGCTCTGTGTAGAGCTTTGTCAAGTTATTTTTTCCCCTCCTTGAAGAGCTTTTTCATGTTTCCCCTTCTGTTTAGAGCTTTGTCAAGTCTGAAGCCCTACACACAGCTCTCTCTTCTTCGCTACTGTTATAGCAGTACGCTCCTCTGTCCATCCTTATTTTCAATGAAAAACAGAAGCGAGAATACTAGAACAGTTCACATTAACCTATGGTGGACCAGTGTTAAGTTTCGGTCCATGGTAGACCAGTGTTAAGTTAATGCATCCACACCTTGCACACTGACTTGCAGTTGTGGTGGTGGTAGCCTGGACATGTCGCTGGGTCCCTGGACATGTCGGGGGGTCCCTGGACATGCCGGGGGGTTCCTGGGCGTGTCGGGGGTCCATGGACATGTCGGGGTGCCCGAACATGTCTGATGGGGGAATTTAGTCCCGAGTGATGAGCGACCGGATGCTTTGGAGAAGACTACTTACTATACCCCATACTCTCTGCAACACAAGATTTATCCTCGCAATTATCCTTAGTCAGCTTTTTCCCCCCCCTTTTTTTTTTTTTTCCCCCCCCCCTTTTTTGTTTTTTTGGGGGGGTTTTTTTTTTTTCCCCAGGTTTTTGGGTTTTTTTTTTTTTCCCCGGTTTTTTTTTTTTCCCCCCTTTTTTTTTTTTCCCCCCCCCCTTTTGGCCCTTTTTTCCCCCCTTTTTTTTGGGCCTTTTTAAGGTTTTTTCCCGGTTTTTTTCCCGGGTTTTTTTTTTTCCGGGGTTTTTTTTTAAATTTTTTCCTTTTTTTTTTTTTTTTTTTTTTTTTTCCCCCCCCCGGGGTTTTTTTCCCGGGTTTTTTGGGTTTTTTTTTTTTTTTCCCCCCCGGGGTTTTGGGTTTTTTTTTCCCCCCAAAATTTTTTCCCTTTTTTTTTTTTTTTTTTTTTTTTTTTTTTTTTGGTTTTTTTTTCCCCCTTTTTTTTTTTTTTTTTTTTTTTTCCTTCCTTTTGGGGGTTTTTTTCCCCCCTTTTTTTCCCTTTTTTTTGGGGTTTTTAAACCTTTTCCCCCGGGGGGGGTTTTTTTTTTTTGGGGGTTTTTGTTTTTTTTTCCCCGGGGGGTTTTTTTTTTTTTTTTTTCCCCTTTTCCCCCTTTTTTTTTTTTTTTTTCCCCCCCCCCCTTTTTTTTTCCCAATTTTTCCCCCCCCGGGTTTTTTTTTTTTTTTTGAATTTTTTTTTTTTTTTTTTTTTTTTTAAATTTTTTTTTTTTGGGGTTTTGTTTTTTTTTTTTTTTTTTCCCTTCCGGTTTTTTCCCTGTTTTTTTGGCCGGTTTTTTTTTTTTTCCCTTTTTTTTTTTTTGGGGGGGGGGTTTTTTTTCCCCCCCCCCGGGGTTTTTTTTTTCCCCCCTTTTTTCCGGGGTTTTTTTTTTTTTGGGGGTTTTTTTCCCCCTTTTGGAAAAGGGTTTTTTTTTTTGCCCCTTTTCCCCCGGGGGTTTTTTTTTTCCCCCCCTTTTTTCCCAAAGGTTTTTTGGGGGCCCCCCTTTTTCCCCCGGGTTTTTTTAACCCCCCCCTTTTTTCCCCGGGGTTTTTTGGGTTTTTTTTCCCCCCCTTTTCCCCCTTTTTTTTTTTTTGGGTTTTTTGGTTTTTTCCCCCTTTCCCCCGGGGTTTTTCCCTTTTTTCCCCCGGGTTTTTTTTCCCCTTTTTCCCCCTTCCGGGGTTTTTTTTCCCCCCCTTTTTTCCCCCAGGCCCCGGGGTTTTTAAAAAATTTTTTGGGGTTTTTTCCCCCCCAAATTTTTTTTCCCCAAATTTTTCCCCCTTTTTTTTTCCCCCGGGGTTTTCCGGGGAAAAAATTTTTTTAAAAAATTTTTTTTTTTTTTTAAAGGGGGGGGAAAAAAAAGGGGGGGGGTTAAAAAAAATTTTTGGGGGGGGGTTTTTTTTTCCCCCCTTTCCCGTTTTTTTTTCCCCCCCCCCTTTTTTTTTTTTTGGGGGGGCCCCCCCCCAAAAACCCCCCCCAAAAACCTTTTTTCCCCCCCTTTTTTTGGCCCCCCCCTTTTTTTTTAAAACCCCTTTTTTTTTTTCCCTCCCCCCCCTTTTTTTTTTCCCCCCCCCCCCCCCCCCCCCAAAAAAAAAACCCCCCCTTTTTCCCCCCCCCTTTTTTTTGGGCCTTTTTTTTGGGGGGGCCCTTGGGCCCCACCCCCAAAAAAGGGGGTTTTTTTTTTTTTTTTTGGGGGAAAAAAAAAAAAAAAAATTTTTTTTTTTTTTTTTGGGGCCCCCTTTTTTTCCTTTTTTTTTTTCCCCCCCCTTTTTTTTCCCCCCCCCCCTTTTTTTTTTTAAAATTCCCCCCCCCCCTTTTTTGGGGTTTTTTCCTTCCCTTTTTTTTTTTTCCCCCTTTTTCCCCCCCCCCTTCTGCCCCCCCCCCCCCCTTTTTTTTTTTTCCCCCCCCCCCCCCCCCCAACCCCCTTTTTTCCCCCCCCCCCCTTTTTTTTTTTTTTTTCCCCCCCCGGGGGGCCCCCCCTTTTTTCCCTTTCCTTTTTCCCCCCCCCGGATTTTTTTTCCCTTTTTTTCCCCTCCCCCTTTTTTCCTTTTTTTTTTTTTTTTTTTTTTTTTTTTTTTGGGGGGGCCCCCCCCCCCCCCAAAACCCCAAAAAACCCCCCCGGGGGTTTTTTTTTTTTTCCCCCCCTTTTGGTTTACCCCCCCAAAAATTTTTTTTTCCCCCCGGGGGGGGGGGGGGGGGAAAAAAAAAAAAATTTTTTGGGGGGCCCAAAAATTTTTTTAAAAAAAAAAAAAAAGGGGGGGGGGAAAAATTTGGGTGGGAAAAAAAAAAAGGGGGGGGGAAAAAAGGGGGGGGGGAAAAAAAATTTGGGGGGGGAAAAAAAAAGGGGGGGGGGGGGAAAAAAGGGGGGGGGGGGGGGGGGGGGGGGGGGGGGGGTTTTTAAAAAAAAAAAGGGGGGGGGAAAGGGGGGGTTTGGGGGGGGAAAAAAAAGGGGGGGGGGGCCCCCGGGGGGGAAAAATTTTTGGGGGGGGGTTTTAAACAAAAAAAAAAAAAAACCCCCCCCCCCCCCCAAAAAAAATCCCCCAAACACCCCACGTCCTCCCCCACCTCCCCC